GTGACTCTACAGTGTCTTACTATGCTGATGAACAGTGACTGTAATGGGGTTTGTGCGGGGGACTTGGTGAAAGGGGGAGCCTAGTAAACATAATGTTCCTCATGTAATTGTAGATCAATGACACCAAAATAAAAAAAACATTAGAAAGAAAAAAAAATAGAACTACCATATGATCCAGCACTTCCACTTCTGGGAAAATCCAAAAGAAACAGAAACACTTGGAAGATATCTGCAATCTTATGTTCATAGCAGCGTTATTTACAATAGCCAAGACATGAAAACAACCTAAGTGCCCAATGATGTTTGAATGGATAAGGAAGCTGTAGTATATATACACAGTGGAATATTATTCAGCCATAAAGTATGAGGAAATCCTACTATTTTTCACAATATGGATGGACCTTGAAAGCACTATGCTAGTGAAATCAGTCAGAGAGAAAAAGACAAATACTGTATGATCTCACATGTGGAAACTAAAAAAAAAAGTAAAAAAACAAACTCATTTATAAGAAAAGAGATCAGACTTATGGTTATCGGAGGTGGAGGCTATGGGGAGGCAGGAATAGGAAGAAGGTGGTCACAAGATATGAACAACCAGATATAAGAGAAACAAATACTATGGAGGCAGTGTACAATATGACTATAGCTAACACTGCTGTATGATATATAATAAAGTTTTTAAGAGAGTTAATTCTAAGAGCTGTAATCACAAGAATTTTTTTCCTTTTTTCTTTTCTTTTTATTCTATCTATATGAAAAAATGGGTGTTTGCTGAATGTATTGTGGTTATCGTTTCACAATGTACATAAATCAAACCATCAAGCTGTACCCCTAAATGTATACAATGATGTATGTCAATTATTTCTCAATAAAACTGAAAAAAAGTATATTCAAAAATCATGAAAATTTATCATCGCTAGGATCCAGGGTGGAAATAAAAAGAGGTAAAACTGGAGATATCAGTTGCATTAAGATTGTAAAATGTCTTACAGGACAAAATAAGAACTTAGTCTTATGTAAGCAAAAGGGAACAAAGGAAGAAAGAAAAAAGTATGCAATACATTTAATCTTTCCTTAAAGGCAGAGGAAGAATTTTTTTTTAATTATCCTGACAAAATAGAAGTGGCTCAAATGTAATTAGAAGGAATGAACATTCTAACAACTAAAAAGTATTTGGTAGCTAATTCTGTATCACTGTGGCTGAATGAGCAAAACTGGCTGTCAAATCTCCCAAATATTCCTCCTCCCATTAAGCCTCTGCACAGCTGTGCACCTTCTGATCAGTGTGAACAGCACACAGTTGTGTGGTACCAAAGCCCTGTCCCCAGCCCCTTCTTCCTCTCTGCCATCCTTCGGTTATAATGTGCTAGAAAAGTCACCTGTACTCCCATTAGGTAGTCCTCTCCTCTAAGCAGAGTCATTTAAACTGCATCCCCATTTCAGAACTACAAATCCCAACATAATCCCACAGTCTAACTAAATTTGAAAGTAAACTTGACAGTAAAGCTTGATGTCACAAAAATTTATTTTTGATGTCAGCTGACCCTTGATGCCACAGGGCAACTTTCTTTTTGACTAATGTTTGTTGATGGGCATAGTATTCTTCAACTATTTCAAACTCCCACTATGCTTCTTAAAATCTGTAATCAGTCTCCACTTATTAAATCACCTACCCTGAAGAGACAGAAAGCTTATAAATAAGGAACACAGGAAGTCCCCAACCTCCTCCACATCCACATTTGCATCCATCTTACAGCTCTCCTTACTTTGTCTCAGAAGAAAGTCACTCCACTGATACAAGGTTAGTATCTTTTAACTATGCTCTAGATTCCATCCTACTTGTCCTTCCCTCTCATTTGCTCAATGGGAGTTATCATCAAGTATTTCCTGTCTCTATTTTCTATTCTTCCTTCTCCCCTGCAACATATATTTTCCCTCTTCTCTGGTATCCATCTCCAGCTTTCACCTTTTTACATCCCTTTTTGCCACTTAGAACAGACTATCTGCTTTCACTTTCTCACCACTATTCATTCCAACAATGTCAAAGCCAATGGACACTTTTCAATCTCTAATTTTGACTTTCTGTGGCATTTAACACAAGTGATGAATATTACCTAAAACTCCTCCTTTGCTTTTCTTTATCTTTAGTCCTTTTTCTCAAGTCTCCCTCCACCTACATACCCCTTAAATCTTTGAACTGGTGTTTCCTTGGTATCCCTTTCACTTTTCACTCTCCCTGGACAAACTCATCCTCATTTACAGATTATACCACCACCTACACAATATGGACTTTGAAAGCAGTATTTCTATCCAGTCAATAGCCTATTGCTTACTGAAAATCTTCATCTGGATATTTATTTCACAGCCACCTTCATCTAAGTCTAACTTAATATCAGCTCCCTGTATACTTCTTCCCTATCTTCCTCTCAACCTTCAATTCTCCTATAGGGTTTTCTCTAAGGCCTAACAGTATTTCCATCTACCCAACCCAGAAATCTACTCACACAGCCTCATCAATTCTATATCCTTAATCTCTTTCATTTCTATCTTCTCTTCTCTATCTATACCTTGGTTTAAACTCCATTTATCTCTCATTAAGACTATTTCATATTTCTATCTGGTCTTCTCCCACAATCTCTCTCCTCTCACATCCACCCTTCATACAGTTGTCAAAATAATCTTTCTAATGTAAATGTGATAGTGTTAACTACTTTCCTTCCAAATTTCGGACTGCAGCTCCTTCCTGCTTACCTCTTAAAATCAAAACTCTTCAACCTACAAAACTAGGCCTTTATGTTTTCCCAACTATTTCTTAAAATCCATCTTTTTGTGCATCCTAACACCCTTTGTCCCCAACCTTCTATCTTAAAATGCCAGCCAAACTAAACTATCTATACTCTTTCATGTAGGAATGTCCTTCCCCAACTATGTCCATATGGGAAAATATCTTTCATCATTCATTTGAAATATTTCTCTTTATGAAATCACCACTGATAGCTCAAAGCAGAGTAGAAAACTCCTTTTCTGCCACTTTCACAGAGAGGCCATCTTTTTGCTACATCAGTTAGCACACAATATAACTTTAAGTCTGTCTTCTCTATAAAAATAACTACAATACAGCCAGTGCTCAACAAGTGTTTATTAATAAACAAATGAACTAATAGCGTGCAGAGTGTCCAAAAAAATTTAAAACACAACAAAACTATTTCCTCTTTTGCCTTTATATATTTAATCAGTAGTTGCCAGAGAAGAATGAGGTATAGTTTAAAAAGCTATAAATGGAAAAGAAATAATTAGAAGGTTATTTGTGGCTGTAAATCTCCCCTTAAGTCTTATAGCATTTCTATACTGCAAAATGATAATAAGCACTCTTTTGTGACATGCATCCTACTGACTAGCAACTTGCTATGTAGCAGAAGTATAAACTAGAAATAAATCAGCTGTAATTCAATTTATCTCTGCTAGATTTGGGTTAGGGTATTAAGAAACACTTCTTTCATTTCAAGCAATAATTAATGAAATATTTATTATCAAGCAACTAACCATTAGTACTGCAAATATCTTCCTTAGTCCAGGCCAAAAGGGCAGGTATACATTGTGCAATGAATTCTTTCTTGTCTTCTTTTGACAAAAATGGACAGAGACTTTGAATGGTATGCATATTACCTTCTGTGAGTGGAAAAAAACTGTTTAAGGAAAAGAAAAAGTATGAATTATATTTATCCTAAATATGCAATTATTTTAAAAAATTCCTCCTATTCAGACTATTCAAAAAGACTAATAATTCCACTATATAAAATAATTGTACAGGAAAAAAAAACAAAAGAAACTAGAAAAGAGATTGACAATTGCTGGTTCTGGATGATGAAACTGTGGATAATTATGTTTTGCTGCTTTCTCTTTTTTAAATGTTTCTAATTTTTCAAAGAAGTATATATAACTTTAAAAAAACTATACAAACAATACATGATTGTTCTCTCTTTAGGAGTCAATTTAAACAGTACCAGTTGCATGTCCTTTCTATGAACTGATATTCATATATGTGCATATACACAGTGGGTTTTATTTTTAGGTATTTATAGTTTTGTTAACATTGTTAATAGAATCTTTTTTCCTATGCCATTTTTAATTATTACTGGTGAATAAGAGTTACCAATTTTCTTATGTATGTCAGTTATAAAGTATGTTGAGTGTATATCCACCTCATTAATAATTAGTTCTCACTCTATAGATAATTCTCTAGTACCTTTATAATCGGAAAAAAATTAAAAAATTATGCTGACTAAAAAAGCCAATACCAAAGGATATTTTGTTTGATTCCATTATATAATATTTCTAAATGATGTAATTAAAGACAGAACAACTTTTTGGTTGCCAGAGGAGAATTAGTGGAAGGGAAGAAGCTGTGGCTATAACACAAAAGGGATCCTTATGATAAAAATATTCTGTATTTTGAACTATGGTGGTGCTCACAAATGGAATCTACACAGAATACACACACAAGTAAGTACCCATAAACTGAGTCAATGGATTGTATCAATGCCATTTTTTGGTTGTGAAATTGTACTAAAGTTGTACAAAGTAGTACTCTTGGTATATACCAAATGAAAGCATATGGAATCTTTTTGTACTAGTTCTTAAAATTACATTTGAATCTGTAACTACCTCAAAATAATAAGCTTTTTTAAAATAAGATTTTTAAAAATCATTAGTTAACTATTTTACTGTACCAGAACATATGTTATCGTTTCAGAATTATTCTTGGTAAATCATTAAATTCACAATGCGTCTTGGAAAATTTTGACTAAATCTTGGTTTAATTTGAATTTTCAGCTTCTCTTCTTTGATCAACTCTAGTAGATCGCCAGGACATTCAATCCCACAATCTATTTTGTCCTAAGAATTATTGTGTTTCTAGAATATACATCAACAGCATGTCCTTATTTAAGAGAAGTATAAGGCACCTTTACCTATCACTTCTATATAGCAAATAAAGTGATGGAAGAAGGATGTTAGGAAGGGAAAAACAAAAGATTTCTGGGGAAAAGATAACAAGTTTATAAAAAGCTAATTGTTTAAAACAAGCATAAAATTCCACAACAGAATGTTATAAAGTTAAAAATACTTATTAAAAAAGGTGTGTCTCAAACCTAAAACAATTTAAGTTGTTTTAAAGTTTTTAATTCTCATTTCCTTAAATTTTATTTCTTAGACTTTGTTTTCTTGACTCATTAAGAGACTGTTCATTAGCTGAGGGTTGCCAAGGTGGAAAATTACAATAAATTACAAAGAACATCTTAAATAAGAATACCCTTCTTTTCTCCTGTAATGTCGTTTTACTTCATCAGATGAAACACTCTGGGAAAGGATCAACTTAGCAATAATAAGAGACCAAAGGGTACCATTTTCCATGGATCTATAAAAGGAAAAGAAAAATTCTGTTTGAAAGTGTACTCAAGATTTTTAAACACTGCTTACCTGGATTCCTTTTACAGAATTTAATAAATCACCTTGTGAGGTCATCAATTCATAAAGAACTTTTCAACCCAAACAACTGTCATTATGAAAGGATTGGGAGCTAATGCCTCCAACACTTTTCACAATTGCTACTAAGCACTCATTCCAAGACAATCCCAAAGTCTCTCAAGTCCCCTAGGGGAAATGACTAGATTAGGCTAGAGGACTGGAGGCTACAGCTGGGAAAAGGACATATCACAGAGGACACCTACACTGGCTAAAAATGAGGAACCAAAGAGGTATTAATACCCAACAGGGAAAGTTCTGAGTGTTAAGTATGTGGAGTAAGATTGGAGAGGAGGACCTGTTCAGCCTGGGGGCCTCTTAACACTGCAAAGCATACTCAAAATATTATAGACATGTGAACCACTTAAAGACAAAGCAGTTCAACACAGTAATTTCAGCAAGCTAAACATCTGTCTTAACCTCTAATGACTGTTTTCAAACCTACTTCTTCATCTAGGGGAAAGGGTTTTGTGGTTATAATATTAAGACACACCTGTAACAACATGCAAGGGGAAAGGTTAAATTAAGAGAATAGTGGGAAAATGGGTCACAGATGACAAATTACAACAACTTCTACAGGTTTCTATTTCTTTCATCATCATCTGTCCCTTGAATGTACTATGGATTTCGTAACAAGCAAAGTCTAAGTATCTCCACAGAGCAATAAACCAAGTACGTAGCATCCACAAAGTACTTACCATTAAGAACTGGGATTAAGATAAACTGATTGAAAAATTAGCATGAAGTGAGTTATATTTTACAGTCACAAACTAGTAAAATAGTCATAAAAAATGGAAATCAAAAGGGATTCTTACCTGTTAAATAACAACTGTAAAAGGCCAGATGTATTATCAAGTCCACATAAACTATCATATGTAATATTCATTTCTTGAAGCATTTCACAAAATCCAGTTAGAAAAACAGGTGCATTGTCTAATTCTTCATACCACTGCAATGAATAGAGCAGTTCTGCAACTAACAAAATGGATAACACATTATCAAGCATGCTTTGTGAACAGGCTTTTCAATCAATTTCACTTATCTGCCCCATTTTCTAACACTGCTGTGCCTACTAATCTCAAAATATCTATGAACTAATTTTCATAGCTTTGAGAATTTCAATAATGAAAACTAAACATCTGTCTGAAACACAATACCATTCTTCTCCCAAATCACACTTGGTCCCTTTTCTGATTAGTTAAGAATGTGACAGTGACCTGTTACCAGAGATACTAGAATCTTCCTGCTATTTTGGCCACAAAGGGTAAGAAGTTGCACACAGAATAAACAACTAAGGGACTCAAGACCTGAGATGAGAAGTTGAAGCCAGTGTGCTAAGAAATGGCAGTCAGCACGCTACAATAAACAAGGCATGGGCCTCAGTGACAGACTGGTCTGGATTCAAATGAACTGCATACATAGTTATCAATTAGGATACTACAACCTATGTCACAGACTACTGCGAGAATTAAATGACCAAGTATCTGTCACAAAAACTGGCACAATTAGTCACAACTCTCTTTACACAGCCATGTATGGATTTTTCAAGTCAGAAGACTTGAGACATGGTTCACAATCCAATCTTATCCCTTACAAGCTCAGTAAGTCTAACCAAGTCAAGATAAGAAAAACGACAATATCTAAGTGATAGAGCTAATGAGAAGATTAAATACATAATGTAGTCAGTCTAACTAATAACACAATCTAAAAAAATATTACTCTGATTTCCAGTTTTGTTTCTGGACAGAATCACTCTGTGAAATAATGTAAACTGCAGGCTAATCTCTTTGTCCTTAACTGAATGTGGAGCTGGCTAACCAAAAGTGGTGTTCCAGCATTCTTCCACAGGGCATATATTCCCCTCTACTAGTAACTGTGTTACAGCTGAGGGCTTACAAACAAGACTGACACAGGAATTACACAAATCCCCTATCTTGAATACCACTTTGCACAGGTCACACTGCTATCTACAATTCTATACCACTTCCTGAAATGGGAGAATTTTCTGAAGTCCTAAATCCTTTTGAGATTCAACATTTAGCCTCCACTTAGCAGGAAAAAAATTATAGCCCTATGAATAAAAAGATATAGTGATTCAAAAATTAACTGAATATTAACTCATCGGAGTCTTTAATGAAAAACCAGACTCACTAAACCATTTTGTCTGCAGTTATGTGCCATAGGATCTGCTTATGATGATGTCATACCAGCTTGTAACTGATCTCATAACAAATTCTTCTCTACAGCTATCAAGATTACAACAAGATTTCAGTATATATCCATCCATTGGCAACTTAACATTACATCATGTAATGTGAATGTAAAAAGTTAATAGGAATTAAAGACTCCTGGTTCTCTATAAAGATTTAAATTGCAGAGCAACCAAAATAATTTCAAAATTGTATTTGTTATAATTATTTCAAAACTTGTATTTATATGTGAATGCTCATATATACTTACTTATTTTCTCAAGCTCATTATTTTCTAGGATTATTTCCTTTTTTAGTGCAACTAATAACATTTTGCTCAATAATGCTGAAGTACACAAATGGCTGGGAAGTTTCTTTGTAACTTGTTCTTTAAAATCTGTTTTGAAATACTCATAATTCAAACTCAATCTTCCTTCTAAAAGAGGTCTGTGTAACCACTGTAAAAATAAAAAATCAGATATTCTAAATTATTTAATACCTATGCAATTAAGGCAGGTAACAAAAATGAAGTTATTAGAATATCTTCAAAATGTTACTAGAATAACTTGAAACATGAAGTTATTACTAGTTTATCAGTACAACCACAAAAGCCTAGAAGTTTGGTTTCTATTAAGGAAATTACCAACATGTTCATTTCTTGAACACTCCTTTAGAACAGAACTACAGTGGCAACTGCCAGTGTTAATTGGTATTTTACACATCCAATATATGAACATTCAGAGACATAAAGGCAAAGTAAGGTATTTTCTTATTTACTTTTTTTTCTTCCCCAGAATAAAACAAAAGATGATCATTTCTTTTACTTCTTCCTCAGAATAAAAATATTTAAGCTTGCAAAAAATCCAAACTTCAAAATGAGATAAGCACTCTCCAATGTCAAAAATACCTGCATAGGAAGAGACTGTCTCATCTTTTCCCATTCACAGTTGTTTGGCATTACACTTTCAATATAAACTCCTAGAAGATGAGTATCTTCACTCTCTAGAAGCTTATTTAGCAAATCATCAACAGTAGACAAGAGGACTTGAAGACTGAAAATAATATGAAGAATTTAACTGTTGTAGTTATGCTTTGACTAATTTGAACACCCAGGACACATTAAATAACCTATGGCAGGTAGTAGCTTACCTGAACAAAAAGATAAAAGCAAAGTGAGTGACCCTTCTACCCCACCGACACACACACAAATCGGGTATTTAATACAACATTTATGATTTGAAATTAAATGCTGCTTCTCTCAGAATGAAGGGAAACTGGCCTATCTCAGATCAGGTATTTCTGAAATATAGCTACCCTATTCCATGAACACAGTATGATGCTTAGAAAGATCTGGCTCAACCCCAATTGCCTCTGGATGCATTTTCTTAGTTTTCATTTTTATATATAGATTTAGGTATTTGCAACTCAACACATTAAAAAAAAATAGAAACTCAACTACCAGATTCAAAAAAATAAACAATGAAGTACAATCATTATGTGTGTGGTGGCCATGAGAGGTTGTCATTACAATCCCCACAAATCTAAGACACAGGATAATACCACCATCACATCACTGACCATAAATCAGAAGACATGCTATAACAAATCATTCTTCAATTAAGTTGGATGAGCAATAAATATGATCATAAATGATAACTAAATGAGTGATCATTAAAACAAAGCCTTTTGGAAAAACCTGTTTGGATCTTACCTAACATGTCATTTTTTCACAGGCACTCTCATTAATCATGGCATCTTATTTATGGACAAGTATTAAAGAGATATGTGCAAATGAGTACAAAAAAAGTTACCTCTTAATATCCAAAGATGATGACTGAACTTGGTTCTTTAGCCACAGAGCAGACAGACGTAGGAAGGTACTCTGTTTATATGTACTGCCAGCTTGATGAACCAATAAATTCACACCACAGAGCCAAGTATTTTTCACTTTACAGATAAGAAAGTCTAAAATCAAGATGTTAACAGTAATTTGAAATCCTCTGAAGTAACTATTATCAGTACAAAATGTCTGAAGGAATTCAATGCAGATCTCAGATTTTTAAGGTATCGTTAAAAAAAAAAACATAAAATACTATTAAATGTCAAAACAAAGTAACTATGTCACAAATGTGCAAAAATACAAGCTAGCTCACACCATATACATGTAAAATGGTAAGATTTTTAAAGTTGGCTTTTTTCTGCTCTGAACTTATTTATAAGAGCATTGTCCTTTTGAAGATGTGAAAAATACATCTCTTCCAAAGAGCAAGTGAGTATGAAATAAAGGGTTGGGGAGGAGTGCTCTCTAATAATAGTATTTTTTATATTCTTTTCATAAGTCTGTATCGACACAGAAGGTAAAAATGTAATCTTTGAAACAGCAATCTCAATTTCATTTTGATATATACCAACATAGAACTATGAGATATTAATATTCCCCTTTATGAATGCAGAAAATGAGGCATCAAGAAATTAAGCAACTTGGTGGAGTGGCTAAGTAAAGGGACTAAGATTCTAACTCATCAACCATGGCCCCGTCCAAACTGTTCCCTTGATTATCAAGTAAGAACTTTAGACATACTTTCTACAAACATCTTTAACTTGGTTTCTAAAGCTGGAAGTGTTTAAGATTTGTAGCCTTTAACTCAAAATGCTTTCAACTTTCAAACACATTATGATTCAAATAAAGCCTGGGAACTTACACTATGAAGGTCAGAGCCGGAGATTCCCAACAAAACATTTGAGCAGTAGGCTATTACCTGGCAAATGTGTTTTTTCTTTGCTCTGAGCACATAACTGAAAGAGAGTTAATAATAAATCCTCGGATGATGGCATTAGCAAGCATCCTTTTGCTGAACTGAAATAATTATAGGCCACATCACAGATAAAAGACACTGACGAGTCATTATTTTCAGCTTCTGACAATTTCTTTGCATTGGATAAAGTTTCATGAAGTTTAACAATAATTCTTTCAACATATACTTCTCCAATCAAGTAATCTAGAGAAAAAAATACACATAGACAAAAAATAAAAGATATTAACAGTATATTTTTTAATACCTTACTTTGGGTTAATCATCACTTGAGTCTTTTCATGTGTTTTTTTAATAAAAAAGAGTGTTTATATGTTTAAATATTAGACAAAAGAAATCATATTAATATATCAATCTGTTCCCTCACACATAAAAGCCCTCATGTAAAAAAGTAGTTTTAAATTAAGTAGAAAAGCAAGGCTCTACGAAATTAAGCAGATTTGTTAAATTCAAAATTCTCTGGAATATAAAACTAAGAATAATAAATGTCTTCTAAGTCATGCTACAAAGGTTAAAGGGTAATTATAAAATTAAGATATGTGAATCAATTAAGTCTTGTTATTCTCAAGCAATAATATGCAAACTGAGCAGTATGGAATGCCTCCCAAAAGTGAAAGGATTATTTGGTACTAAAAAGCAAAAGTCATATTTTTGCCTACCATTTTTAACCTGCTGTGATAATACCAAACTTAAAAGAGTCCATCTTTCTGAGAAGTAAGTTTCAGAAGATACTGTGGATTCCAAGTCCTTATTACAAAGATGATCTGCCAAGGTTACCAATTTCTCTCCAAGGATATCTCCTTTGAGCCAAGGAGTTACTAAAGCATGTTTATCTGAACTAGAACATGCCTAAAACCACAAAATTAAAGCAAAGATTAGAAGCAAGATCAAAAAGTTTATCTGCCTAAAATATTGCATGTACCATTATTACCTCCCTTCACCATCATGGCCCCAACACTATCCCCCACTCCTCCTCCTCAGTGCTAAGGAGGCTGGTTATCTTCCTGTTCCCCACTAAGTCTTGCTTACATACACTTCTATGCTTTGCTCACACTATCATCCCAACCATAAATATTCCCTCTTCTTTACTAATTGAAATCCTGTTCATTAAGAATCAGTACAAATCCCACCTGCTTTATGAACTCTTCCCCATCAACTCCAGCCCATACTTATCACTGCTTTTCTGTGAATTTCTAAAGCACTTACTGGATTTTATTATATTACTTATAATGTTCCATCTGTGTTTATCTTGTTTCAAATGAGATTTTAAGTTCCTTGAGAGCAGAGACTGTCTTACACTCCTTTGACACCTGCTATCAACACTGCAGAGATATTCAATTAATATTAAATGGATGAATTTTGAAGACAGATTCATGAATGCTCTATAGATACTAAATTTTGTTCATTAATTTTGCTAAAATTAAAGAATAATTAATACATGATAGTAGTAAGTTACTTCAATATGAACTATGGGACAAATTATTTCCCCAAGTTCTCTGAAATAGTTACCGGGACCAGATATCTGACAGCAACTGGTTTATTTTCATGGGGTGAGGAAGCAAGAAAAAGAAAACTATAAATCCACCCCTAAAGCATGCTGATCCATGTTCCCACAGCTTCTTTTGCTTTAAGGGCTGAGAAGAAAGGAATTTGGAACTTCGTTCATTTCAAAGCAATCCGGAAAAAAAAAATCCAAGTGTGGATTGGGTAGTGCTTTAAAAACTGTTCATCCCTTTTTTTTTTTTAATTGTAGGTAAAAAGAGCTTTCATCTTGCCCTAGCTTTACTACTATCCTGGCTTTACGACACTGGACAAATTTCTTAACCAACTTTGGCCTATTTCCTAATTTCAAAAATGAAGATTAACTTAGAAAATCTCAAAGCTCCTTTTCTAGTTAAAAACTTAGGTTTGCTTTTTAAATTATGAGATTGCATTAAAAACAAGAAAAACTAGAGTTTAGATGGCTAAAATATTGGCTTTCCTAACATAATTTGCCAAATAAAATCAATCTATTTTATAGAATTTTACAGAATCTAGAAAATAAACTTGTAAATGTCTCTCAGGTTAGCAAGACATGAAGTTTGGTTCTCAAAGTCTTGACATATCTACAAAAAGAATCTGACCAACTTTAAGGGGATGGGGAGACTAGTCAGTCATGAAAGTATAGGTGAAAACTGGCTATGAACTTCCAAACACTGCCCAGAAAGGAGACTGTCTTCCAATCAGATATGAGTATCTGAGCTACTTGGCAGGTATATTCCTAATTTGGGAAATGGGCATATCAATCTTCTCTTCTGAAATTATTAACTCCCCTTGCTCTGATTCTAGACTTACCAGGCAGCTTTCTGATAATTTGGCTTTATATGTAGCAAGCCTATAGGGAGAGAAGGAACTGGATAAACTAATGCAATGGTGTGACTGGTAAGCTACATTTCTTATTAAAAATAATTAATTAATATTCTGTATTGATTTTTTAAAAATAAATTACTGGGGGAAATGGGAAATTATTGCCTAATGGGTAGAATTTCAGTTCTGCAAGATGAAAAGTTCTGGAGACTGGCTGCACAATAATATGAATATACTTAGCACGTAGAAAAAGTAATGACTCTATAGTATCTTACTAAGCTGATGAACACTGACTGCAGTGGGGTGGGAGGGACCTGATAATATGGGTGAATGTTGAAATCACAATGTTGCTCATGTGAAACCTTCATAAGATCGTATTTCAAGGATACCTTAATTTAAAATAATAACAATATGAATATATTTAATGATACTGAACTATACACTTAGAAGTGGTTAAGATGATACATTTTAATGTTATTTTTTTCACTATAATTTTAAAAGATCCAAGTAAAATTATAAAGAGTTGTCTATGAAAAACATAAATATAACCAAAAAAAGTTAGTAACAAAAAAGTTTTAGGTAGCAGCCATAACATTTCTATAGTTGGAAAAGTGTTTGTTACATCATTTGCATCACCATGAGGAAAGAATATTTAAGCCACTTTTAAAATTTTCTAAATTGTTTATGTTCCTTGACTTCTTTTCATTATTCTTACCACTAGTTTTCTTATTTAGTCCAGTAGCAATCAGACAAAGGCTGGGAGATTTTAATTTTCCTTTACAGTATTCTGAGTATGACAAACTTAATTTCCTCATATGTTCTGGCCATACTAGAACCACTCAATCAATTTCTATAGAACAAAAAGCAACTAAGATAAGAGTAAAAACCTGTTGCCTTGTTTAAAAGATAATAAAATGTGTAATTCTCCCTTTGTTATCTGCTAGGGAAAACACACTGGATTTTCCAAAACCTGTTCATTCTTCCCTGATACTCCTAACTAGAAAAATCGTACTATATATAGAAAGGCAAAAAATCAAATGTCTTCCCAACTTATAGAAAATAATAATAATAATAATAATTTCTCTAACATAGACACTTGACCACATACCAGTGTGTGAATGACTATGGTTTTAATTTTTCTGTATCCATAAACATAAACACACACAAAAAGAAAAAGAAAAAGAAAGAAGAGAAGAAAAAAATCCCTAAGATACCTTTTCAATGACCTGAAGAATAGAATTCCATTTCAGGTCCACCTGAAAGAGGAAAAAGAGAATCTGCTAGAGGGAAAAGTAAAATTTTTTACATGTAAATAAATTCACCAGGTAACCACTACAAAACTATAATTTTTAGTTCAATTTTTAAAAGTAGGGACTGAAAGAACTTACTTATGCATGTCATTTTAACATACTTATTCAATACCTATCTGGAAATCTCACATAGTTCCCAATCACAATCAAGAGTATGTTACATTGTTCATCTTTAAATTGACAACCTCAGTCAAGAAACAATCAAAATACAACTGCCATGTAGGTTTCATTCTACAATTAGTGTGCCAGTGTAAACTATTACAGTTTAAAAAGATAACACTAGTACCTCAGTTAGATCGTCCAAGACTTCTTTTCTTTCCATATTGTTGTCACAGCAATGGAGGGCACTGTACAAAATGTCCACCAAGAAACCAGCTTCCTTCCTTTGATGTTCATTTAGCCAACCTATTAGTTTCTGGTATAGAAACTGAACTGCAGGGTTTTTTTGTGCAAGTTTCGCTACTTTAAGAGGTTTGGCTTTGACAGTACTCTGTTTTTCATCACCAAGCAGCATTTTAAATACTTGGGTTGAAGAGAAAGAGCTGAGCAGAGTGGAAAGAAATCTTAGATGTTGCTCTGACTTTTGTTCATTGACATAATTAATACTCATCTCTGCTAGTTTACAGACTAAGTCTTCCAAAGGTTTTTTCCTTAGCGGAGATATATCATCTGAACAATTATGAGTAAGAGACAGGTCAGCCATTAATCCGGAGCCTTCACTATTCTCTCCTGAGGAAACACATTTTTCATTCTCTTTATTACATTCAAGCATCTCATCAGCAAATCTAACTTTACAAACTTTTTTTTTATTTGACTTCAATGAACTCTTTGGCTTTTGAAGGACCTCTAATAGGTTAGATAAACCCAAAACAGATGTAACATTAGCTTGTGGCTCATTGATTTTTTGAACACAAATTTCTGAGAGTCTTTCCCAGAAATTTACTAGCACTTTCTCCAAGCTATGAGCCATTTTATCATCATTTTCCATATCTGCTTTGGCTTCCCAGGAAGTTAAAGTTTCTGCTAAATAGTTAAATAGCTGCCCATCTTGCGTCCTTGGGTCTTTGAGAAATGCATCAATAAAAGGAATCAACTGAAAGAGAAGGTAAAAATATAACCATTCAGTTTTCAGGAAAAGTAAAATTTAAACAAGATTATTTGTAAAACATTATAAAATTTGATATTTCATAACTGAAAAAAAGATTTTTTTTCCAGAACACTGAGAAGTTAACTTGAAGATCATTTTCATATCATACAAAGAGATTAATGATTTCATCACATTCCCCCTGAATTGCTTCTTTTTAATGATGTAATTGGCCAAGATAATTGGTCATTATCAATACAGTTTTCTTTGCATCTTCTCTTCTTATTCAAGTTTTTTGCTTTTTTCTAAGCCAATATGAAAAATGCACTGGACCCATAGAATTCAGACACTTTTTCTTAAATTACAAATTAAAGTCAACTGACAGTAACTAGGATCTGGGCTTATATAATTTCATTAATTTCCTACCAAAGGAACCATACTCCAGAACTTTCTCATCACTAGTTCTAAAAGTCAAGCACAATTGGTCACAAAAGGATAAATATACTTGAGCATTTTAGAAGTAATAAGATAATCATTGTGTAATTTAAATTTTATACAAAAGATCACAAATAGTATTTTCTAAATTCTGTTATGCAATGCAGTTCTCTAAAACAGGCAGGATTTGTACCACCAGAGACTAACTAGGACTCAGGCATTATGGTATTAAGGCTAGCAACTAACAGTATAAATTTGTATTTATCTGGTCAGAAATATAGATTACTTAATTTGTAAATTATAAAAATGAAATAAAAATGAAATCTTTACAAGGAAGGCTAATTAATAAAATGGCAAGACACACTGAGCTTAATTGTTTATAGTTAGTGTGCAAAGACAGTGGTAATTTTCACATTATAAGTACCTGATCATTGATGAGCATCTCTTCAATCTCTTCCTCGCCTAAGTTTTGTTGCATTATAAAATGTAAGCACTCAAAAAAGGCAGATATTGCTGCTGAACACTCTGAAAAGCTGGTTTTGATTCTCTCTGTTGACAGCCTAAGAAATAATGAATAACTGGCTTATTGTTTCATGAAAAAAGAAAATAAGCAATTCAGAAACACCAAAATAAAGACACAGAAAAGGCCATCATAACAAAAGAAAAGGATCTTTTAAATAAAATTCTTAAACTAAAAACTATGAATGACCAAAATACAGCCCAATTAGAACATGTACTTGAAGAACAGTAAGAAAAAAGCATATTTTCAAAACATGTAAGCTAAAGATAACAGATACTTATTTTCTATTCATGAACCATCCACCTGCAAATCTGAAAGTGAGGAGTTACCTAAATAAAGATAATAGTGTAGCAAAAAAAAATTTTAATCACTAATAAAAATGGGTATATTTCATTTATGAAGTTCAACAAATATACTGAAATTATTTTTAAGTGTGACTTTAAATAGCTATTATATTTAAGTTTACGGAAGTTTTAAACTCCACTGGTTCATTTTCCGTATTTGGGCATTTGTATTTATTATCAGCATAAAAAAAAAATGGCTCATCTGAAAAATGGCCTATATCCATCTAAGGGTCTTAATATATTTATCTCACTTTCTGCTGTGTTCTACCACTCTTTTCTACTACTTTTAAAGTACCCAAGAAAAGAATTCCAATTGTAATTCCTCAAAAACTTTAAAAGTATTTAATGAACAGCAAAACAACTTTGGGAAATTAAGAAAGATAGTGAGCATATCATTCTAACCATTTATAAAAACAAGAAAAATATCTTCTGCTTTAAAGATGAAGAATTTTAATTCCTTACCCTATAACTAGAGAGGTGAGGAAATTTTTGAAGAACTCCAACTTTGGATCTGTAATGGACTGAGGGAGTTTGCTGATAAATGGCAGAAGATAAGGATAAATGACAGTAGCCAGACCCCGACCACCTTCACGAACCACAGCTGACAGTTTGGGAAACACACTTTTTTTTGCATTTACATGAAGCCAACAGTCCTGTCCATAGAAAAGATTATAATAATAATCACAGATCATAAACATACTTTCCCAATTAAGAGAGAAGATAGACAGTATTCTACCTAAGGAGGCTAAAATCTCTTACAACCATTTAAAACTAAAACTCTGAAATTGTAAGAAATTTATTACATATAGTAACCATGTCCCACAAGCTTCTAGGATGATACTGATTAGAAATAATTACTTAACTTAAAAAATTTCTAAGAAAACTGCTTTCAAAAAAGGACAGCAATATTTAACCTTAAATATAAGATGGGAAATGCTGACTTCCTTGGGCTACATAGGTTTAAAGAATATTTGATACTAAACTGAAAGTAAAATAAAAATTCTATGCCATTTTATAGTCAAGTTTAAGATTTATACCAAGTTTTGTATAAGTATTTTATTTCCCAAAAAAGCATTTTTCCAGTAAGTTTTGGATATAATAATTTTATAGGTTCTCTCTTATATTTATTACCTAAGGCTTCTAAAATACAACAAGAAGACAAGATTGCCAGGCATGGTAAATGTACCTCTCTTACATACCTCAATAGTTGTAACTGTATAAAGCACAGCTTCCCAAAGAGCTGGGCATACAATGGGGTCACTGTCATCAATGCTAAGTAAAACAGATGGGCTCACTTTAGATGCTTCATCTTTTATCAATTGTGGAATACGCTGGCACAAAGCAGAAATTAACTCAAAATAAGCTGAGCGGATCTAGAAGAAAAAAGGAAAGCTGAATTAAAACCTAGTAAAGCTGATAAGATTTTTTGATTTACGGTAATGGTAGATAGGTTTTCCCACTAATAAAACTAAAAGAGCTAAAAAAAATTGTTTTAATCTTCTCAAGAGTATCAAATAACTGAAAAGACAATAGGAATTATCAAGCCAAAAGTGAAGGCAGAAAGAATTCAATTTTCCATTTGGCTGAAGCAAATACAAATCCTCTCTAGTGGCAAAGTCCTTCATCTGGGGCCTCAAATTATCCCTGTGAATATACTAGGCAGCAAAAAGTTAAATTTGGCCAAACAAACAATAAATAAGACACTACAAGCCACTATCAGCAGGAACAAAAGATAACACAAAGATCAGAAACTTTAAATCATAGAATTTATCAGTTACAAACTCCATATAAACAGTTCTTATTGTATTTGAAGAAAAATTTAAAGAAGCCTGGAAATGAATCTTAGAAAAAGTACAGCAGATCTGAAAAAGAACCAAGCCCAATCCTAAACTAAAAATAAATAAATATGCAAGAGCTCAATTCACAGATAAAGAGCAGATTAAATAGTGATAAAGAATCAGTGAAGTGAAAGAGTAAAAGAAAGTATGAATCCACCAATAGGCATGGAAAGACAAAAACCCAGAAAACACAAAGGACAGCATAAGAGACAGAGGAAAGGGTGAGAGGATTTAACATATGCTTGACAAGAATCCCAAAGGAAGAGAAAAGTATAGAATGAGACAAAGGGAATATTTGAAAAGATACAGCTGGGCATTTTGAAGAGCCAATGAAATAGACCAATCTACAGACTCAGTAAGTTCAACAAATCCCAAGCAGGATAAATTAAAAAAAAATCCACACCAAGACACATCACAGTACAATCACAAAAGGAAACAAAACAAAATCTTTAAAGTACCCAGAGATTACAGACCAATATCCCTGATGAACATAGATGCAAAAACACTCAACAAAATATCAGCAAACCGAATTCAAAAGTACATCAAGAGAATCATACACCATGATCAAGTGGGATTCATCTCAGGGAGGCAAGGATGGTACAACATTCAAAAATCCATCAACATCATCCACCACATCAACAAAAAGGGGGACAAAAATCACATGATCATCTCCATAGATGCTGAAAAAGCATTTGGCAAAATTCAACATCCATTCATGATAAAAACTCTCAACAAAATGGGTATAGAGGGCAAGTACCTCAACATAATAAAGGCCATATATGACAAACCTACAGCCAGCATCGTACTTAACAGCAAGAAGCTGAAAGCTTTTTCCTTTAACAAAATGGAACAAACAGTTATAAAATTCATATGGAACCACCAAAGACCCCAAATAGCCAAAGCAATCCTGAGTAGGAAGAATAAAGTGGGGGGATCTCGCTCCCCAACTTCAAGCTCTACTACAAAGCCACAGTAATCAAGACAATTTGGTACTCATACAAGAACAGACCCACAGACCAGTGGAACAGAATACAGTCTCCAGACATTAACCCAAACATATATGGTCAATTAATATATGATAAAGGAGCCATGGACATACAATGGGGAAATGACAGCCTCTTCAATAGCTGGTGTTGGCAAAACTGGACAGCTACATGCAAGAGAATGAAACTGGATCATTGTCTAACCCCATACACAAAAGTAAATTCGAAATGGATCAAAGACCTGAATGTAAGTCATGAAACCATAAAACTCTTAGAAAAAAACATAGACAATAATCTC